TTGTGCAAACAGATGTTTGTCTGCAATATTTGTTTACTTCCTAGTTCCTAGCACTTTGTCACTGCTGCTTTCACTCACCTGCACTCTATCAAGTGTCAAGTGATGTGACACAGTGGCTGGATATGAATTAGTCATTTTGGGCACGGATGCATACAGTCAGTCTAACATATTGTGAAGGCTGTGACACACAGGCACAAAACAGGCAGTGACCCCCCCCCCCCCCCCCCAGCCGCTGCCGCTCACCCTTACCTTAATGTTTTTAAACTGAAACAGTTCCTTACAGTACTTGCAGTTCAGAGTTCGTTCAGGGCATTCTCTTTCGTTATGGCGCTCTTGTTCACTAAGTCTCAACAGCTCCTTGCATGACGGACATGTAATAATCATGAAGTCACATTTGCCTTCATGGTTTAGCTGCAGAGAGACATGGTGACGTTAAGAGTCACTCGGAGAACCACTTATGTTAACCCTTTATTCACTGTAGCTGTTGCAGCCAGATGTGCCTGGTATTCATGGGCTGACAAAAGCCACCTAATTCACTCGTTTTATTTCATGGGCAGGCATATATGAGTAATGAACCAAACCATATATGGGATATAGATGGTTATCAGTAATTAGTTTGTTTTAGTAGAATTAAAATTAATTAATTGAAAATACATTTTCCAACTCAAAGGACCGCAGAGAAAGCAGAGATCAGAAATCAGCTAGGATAGTTTTCTGCATAAATAAATAAAGTCAGAGAACATAATATAAAACATGGATAATTTATAAAAGAAAGCATGATGCATAGTTACAATGCAGTGGAGATTGAGAATTTATATTGGCAGAAATACAGTATATTACTGGTGACTACATTTAAAAAGAGACAGACAGACAGAGACACACAGACCAGGCTCATCTCACTGGAAGGCCTGAGCAGGCCCACACCTCGTATTCTTTAATGCTGCCTTTCCAGCTGCATCCTTCGTTAGGGCACACTACTTGCAGTGCTTCCACCTCCCTCCTCGCGGCGTTGTCAGGGAAAGCCTGTGTCACACAAGGCAACACAGCCGGCAGCCACTATCAGCATTTGCACTCATTTCTGTGGCTTCTGGTTAAATTCTATGAAATCGTTGATTCAATATCATTTTACAGCTGGTGTGAAACATATCTTTATTTAATAACATTTTGTGGCCCGTGTTCAAAGTACTAAACAGACAACGGTGCGGGCTGAAATTTCTACTCTACCGAGAAAAAAAGTGGCGAATAATAAGAACGTGGGAATATTTTTAATTTATCTCTAAGCAGACTGGGCAGCTATACCGATTTTTTTTAAACAAAAGCATCAAAATATTGCCGTGGGCGTGTACCCATTAATACAAGCCTGGAGACGACAGTAAAGTCATAGTCAGACAGACCACGTGACCCAAGCGGAGCCAAACAGACGACGGTATGCACTGCGCATGTGCGAGCCTGGTGAGCCGCGCCCGCCGGAATGGAGGTGCGAAATACAGAACAAGACAAAAGGAAAAAGGGGGAAAACGAGTGTCCAGAAAGAAACATGAACGTCATATTGACGCAGATTAATGTTGCAAGACCATTTAGTCCTGTTATAGAAACCTGCTGTGAACATTCCAATATGTTTACCTTTATACGAATAAATATTTTTATTAAAATTTCTGGACCGTTTACTCCTCAAACATTTTGTGCATGTTACATTTAGAAGCCGCAAGAGCAATAAAGCCAACGGCTTTCCTCGCCTTGGCAGAACGGCAGTATGAGGACTATGTGGACGTAGGCCTATTGCTTACTACATCGAGATCCAAGTTCATCTCCAGCGCATACTTTTCATTCCTACACAAGCCGTGCAACAAGACCCTTTGTTATACAAAACAAAGTGATAAAAATACATTTCATTAGACATGTGCATTCTGGATACATATTAGGTAATTTTAAATTTTAACGCATATTTGATTATTTTCAGAAAAAAAACGGCCATATATGCAGACAACTTACACAGCCTTGCTTCAGAATGGATGTTGGCTCTTCAAATATGTCTTCCTTAATACAAGCGCCGCATTTTTGCGGTCCTGAGCTGTAAGGAAAAACAAGTATTCTTTGCATGACTGTTGGCGTACAAAATGAGCTGTACCTTTATTTTTCAAATTTCAGTCATTACGGGGAAAGTCCATTTACTCCATCCACAGCGTATCCATCACGTTTGCATCAACAAGCTCATATTTTTGTATCATGTTTGTACGAGGGAAGACTTCATGTTTTCAGTTTTGCGCGCAAAACCAAATGCAACTTGCATTCCTATTGTTTAACCTCACCCACTCGCTGTATTTATACCACATACTGATATATAATATCTAATTAGGCTACGATACATTTATGAATAATGCTTTGACTCGCCCTTCGGGATTTATCATTAGATTTTTCATAGCCTGAGCTAGCTTAATGTGTCGTTCGTAGTTCCGTTTCCAAACACTAGTCTATTCCGAATAATGTTCACCATTAACAAGGATCTGTCGCTTATTGACTTGAGTGTTTTATGAGTGCATCAAATGATTCCGGTTGCAGACACACTGCCATGCCACTGCACAGCCTGCTGCCATTTATGTTAAACGCGTAAAAACCACAAAATACCTTGTGTAGACTATGTGGAGTAGGCCCACACCCCCCAAAAATAGCCAAATCTGTTAGTCTTAACAAAGGAAGTAGATGCTGTGAGGTCGCATTGTCTTCGACAGGCTTCACATAAAATGTAAAGTGCAGCAGGAATTATTTCTGTAGCATACTGAAAGAACATTCATTCCACAAAACCGTATCACGTAGACATGTAGCTGGCGCTTGATTTGGCACAGGTTGGTTTTGTTTGATCGTCATAAGATGAGGTAAATATTTTAGCCAGCACTGCAGCTAGCTGGTTCAAAATGGGTTGTCGTAAGGTAGGAATTTCGCCAATGGTTTAGGGGGACGTCTGCTTGTCTCAACCGCTTACCTGACGGTCCGATTAAAGCAATATGAACAAAAACGATGACCGCACTGGGCCTGGAAGGGCCTCCTCAAAATTTTCTGACAGCAAGCGCACAAGTGCTTGTCCTCATGCTTGTTGACCAAAATTGTGGTGGGGAATCCAGGTTTGTTGCCTTCCAGTGACGATGGTGGCGATGGATCCTGCTCAGCCATTATTCCCTGAACACATACACACACGTGACCTGGGGGGAAAATTTAAAAGTATTTTTCTCCATTAACTATAGAAGTGCACAAAAAGACGCTCACATCGTCACACATAAATGCACGCATACATAAATAAGCAAACAAACCCACGATATGCATGTTGACGTTTTGGTTATCCCACGTACGCAACTTCAGCAATAAGGAGCGCAGCTTCCGTAATTAGACACCAGCAAGATGCTGAATACACAAAGGGGCGTAGCCTCTACTGAAGCGTGTGCCTCTGATAGATTGAAGACGACTAAGTTGTACTTATTTGCCAGGCTGCACTGAGAGGATAAAGATAACCTGACAAACTCGCAATGAAATGGGTTTTCCCCCGTTTCCCCTGTCCTGGGTGCTATATTGTCGCGCTGCTTGACAGCTTTGCCAGCCAGTTATGTGTTTTTGCCAGCCATCTTGCTTTCATTTCCTTCCCTTTTCCCTTCCTTTCGGTGTAGCTTTTGCGCGCACACTTCTCCTTTGTGTGATTTTACACGCCGCCTTAGCAAGCGTCTTAATAGGCATCGATTGTACGATAACGTGCGACTTCCCCCATATCCGTCCCTTACCAGCCCTTTGATCAGATCGCGTTTGAAAGGAGAACAAAATGCAACATGACAACATGTTTGCGAATGACTTACCAGTATTGGAGCGGCGTCATCGGTGCGGGGAAAAATCCAGGCGAACCCTCGCTTTGTTCAACTACAGTTTCCCTTCATATTCCCGTAATACGTGCTGTGCTTTCGGTTGAACAATGGACTCCGGTACCAAAGTAACCACCGCGATCCGTCCGATTTCTGTTACTATTATTATTTGTTTACACGGAAACACGCACCGACAAAAGGTGCCTGCCGTCTTATTGTCTTCCCAGGGCCACAAGTTGTGTTGTTGAAATATCTTTCGGCAGCTCCGAGGCGCCCCGCTCCAAGCGCTCCATTTTCAGCCGTCGAATGACGTTATCTAGTTTCTTTTTTTTAAAAAAAGGAAAAAAACGCGGTCGGTCGCCTTTCAAACCCCGACTGAGACTTCGTTCACTTCATTAACGTCTGCCTTCAAAAAGTGTTTCTGAGGTTATTTCTGACACTTGTATATTATTTGAATATTTCAGAATGCTCTTAGTGGGGGTATTATTTTAAAGAGCTGTGTAATCTTTAAACACAAATACACCTTTCGCCGAGTAGAATATAAAACTATGTAATAACTCATCGTTTAGTGTGCATGCTTCACTACATTCTACACTATCCGTGTTTGTTAGGACAACTATAGCCGTTTGCAGAATAATATGAGTATTGTATTTTATCTATTAACATTAGGCCTACATAATTATTTTTTGTTAACGTCTGTGATGTTTTAACTTATCCTTTTTATTTCATTTCATTAAAGTTCAGCTCATTTTTATCCAGAAGAAACTGAATCAATTTTACTCATACAGTATTAGTTCACTTCCGCTAAACAATAAAGAACGAAGCGCGTTTTTAAGCCCTATAACCCGTGCGTATCACAGGTTGTAGTGCTTAAACACGTTTACACGACAAAACATATTTAAATTGATTAGTCACTAATTTATACTAAAATTAAAATTCCCAGCTCCCGGTTACCTACATTATGTTTCGTTATAAACCAATAAAGGGTGAAATGTACTCATTCTGCTTCGGTCTGATGGAGACAGCAGGTAACCTAATGGGTTACCGGTTAAGGAGCGCCTTGGCGAATGCCGGCGATGCGGCCTCCAGCCGCTGGTGGCGCCATCGGATCAGAACGGCCTCTCTGCGGCTCTCCTTCGGTCCTCAAACGGTGCCCGCGGTAGGAGGAGGCGGGACAAATGGCCGTCGCAAAAAGACAGCAGTACCTCAATTGACGCGTAAAGGCGAGCGGAATAAATGGCTGATAACATTAACAATAATGCTCATAATAAAACATATCGCGAAAATATTGGTGGACAGCTGCTATTAAACCACGTTATTATGGTATGGACATTTTTGTCTAGGTTAGTACTGTGGTGCCTGGTACCTACTGGGACGAGTCACGAGAAGCTGCCAGATACCTGTACTCGCACTCGGATGTTGTTTTGTGTTATTATCATTTTACGGTGGCCTGGGGATGCGTCCCTACGGTCCTTTCAATTTAAGCTTAGAAGAAGCTACGATTTACCTTGGTGGTCCGAAAAAATCCCGATGGTTTCGTGCTAAACGCCTAACTTCTGAATTTGCATGTACAGGAATGTCCTTTAATGTGGAAAGTAGATTTTCTAAGGGTACCTCGACATAGAAAACGTTTTTACATATATATGTAAAGAAAAATTTGTTTTTGTGCTTCTGGGTTTCCGTATGCTGCATTTGATCCATGTGAGATTTAACGTGAGCCTCGCCTTTTTGAACACAATTTCTTGTCATATTAAGATATCACGAATTAGTCTGATGATAAATGATATTGGGGGTGTTTGGCACGTAAAACACCGCGATATGATATTAAATGGGTTTGAATAAATATATCCACATTTCAACCTCACCAGTTGGTTGTCTAGTTATCAGGTGGATGTTTTTGCGGGAGACAGTTCCGATGAAGTGCTGGTATTGAAATGATGGTCAGACTCCCCCTCGAAACATCAAAATGTATAAAAATGTTTTATTTACTGATGACCAATCTAAGCCAGTCAGGGGTTCAGAATGACATTCCTGGTTTTAATAGACTATTCTTCTGTCTTGTAGGTGATGCATATTGGATGACTGTCCCTTTGCTGCCTTTACATTCCGGACTGAGGATTAAGGAATTTCCTTGAAGTTCCATATAACTGATAGTGACAATGTGCCTTGATTGTATTTAATTAATTGTGCCAGATTGACTATGAATACCACCAAACACAAGGGTTGAATGCCCTGATGAACAGCCTTTTAGAAATTAATGTCCCTGTTCTACACACTAACCTTGCAAGTTCAGACATCATCATGTAATAACTGTACCACTGCTGATTCAAGACATCTTTTTTCATACCTATGGACAACTTAAAGTTTGGCTTTAAAACTTGTTAGTCATTGTGAAGTTACATATTTCTTTTAACGGACGGAGCCTCTTAAGGATTTATCAAGATGCTTTCAGCTCTGAAGAAGCTAGTTGGCTCTGAGCCAGGACAGCTGAAGGAGAAGAACATTCCAGCAGGCCTGCAGTCCATGAACCAGAGCTTGCAGAGGAGGTTTGCCAAGGGCGTTCAGTACAACAGTAAGTGCTGGCGTGTAAGGCATTTCGCCGCATGCGTGCCGTGACATGCGTGCCGATTAGGGTGGGGTCCGGCTGTCCTCCACGCTGCTGTTTGCCATCCAGCTGGTGTGTGCGTGTCGCTTCAGGGTTTGTGCAGTAAGGTGGGATCAGCATTTGGCTCCTCATTGGGTAAATTTTTTGCAAATATCCAAGATGTGTATTTCCAACATTTATCCAGAGTCTAACCCTGAGCTGAGGCATGTGTGTCATTGTACAAGGTAGATTTGATAAGTTTTTGTTGAGCCTTTTGTATGGCATGTTATTTTGCTCAGGGTGATATGGATGTTTTGAAAAACTTGATAGATACAGGATGAGTGAGAGGCTTTTATTAAGCTGAGTAGGATATGCAGCACGGGCCCTCAGAGAGCTACAGAAACTCCTTCTGATGGCTGCTAAAAGCTTGCCCCCACCCACCCTGGGCTCACACAGAGGATTATCCCGTTGGTGGGAGTACAAGCACATCATCTGATGGCAGGGTGCTGAGGCCTTGTGTGAAATGTGACCATAGGGTGTGAACTTTAAAGAAGGTTGACCAGAATGGCCCTGGGTCTCCCTGCACTGACAAAGCCAGGGTTGTTTTAAAAGCTGCCCTGAAGGTAAATCTTGTGACACTACAAATTATGTAGTACAGCTGTGTTTGTGTTTTCCTTGTGATATAGAAACAAATCTTTCATTGTGTAGGTTCAAGAGATATAACCTTTGTTTCAACTGTTCTTTTGGACTCCTTTGGGGGGTGTGTGTGTGTGTGTGTGTGTGTGTGTGAGAGACAGAGGGGGAGAGTCTGTGGGAGTCCATGTGTGTGTTATGTCGCTTATCATGATGTGATTCCAAGGTGGATGGAAACTGAACAGACATACTGGATGGCTGGGGTAGAGGGAAAGAGGCACTGAGCTAAAGATAAAAATTGAATGTTATAGCTGTGAAATTCAGAGGTACAGCAGGCACACTTCTCCGGGCTTTTGAACCAATCCATGAACTAATACACCATCTGCACACCTCCCCAGTAACAGGTCTGCGTAATGAGCCACTGATTTCTCCGTGTGCCCCACCCCCCACCCCCACCCACAGTGAAGATCGTCATCCGAGGGGACAGGAACACTGGCAAGAGCGCACTGTGGCAGCGGCTGCAGGGGAGGAAGTTCCTGGAGGAATACCTCCCCACGCAGGAGATCCAAGTCACCAGCATCCACTGGAACTACAAGAGTACGGCCTTCCGTCCGTCAGCATATTAAATGCACGGGAGGTGCTGTGGAGGAGCATGCGCGTTTGGTATAGCAGCATGCGGTGAATGTCGAGCCCCCTGCACCTCCCCCTGACTCCTTTTTCCCAGTTGCTGTCTGGCGGTGCTCAACCATAAACTGCTTCTGCTTGACCCCCCCCCCCCCATGGCTGCCCGGTCAGGCATCATGCTGCTTTGAGGTCACTCGATTCCCCCCCGTGTGTCAGGGAGGGCCCTCCTTTCCCTATAATATACATCGTCCCTCAGCAGGGGCCTCGCTGTCCTTCATGCTGACTCCTGATGCATCACTGAGTCAGCCATCTTCCAGCAGCACTTGGCTGCATGCTGCTTTCCTGTTTGAGTCCAGCCTTAAACAAGCAGCAGCAGTGTCACTTTTAATGCTAACGGAGGCTTTTCCATTGCCTAAAGAGTTTGATTTAAGGCACCATTGGCCAGTCCCCACCCTTGGGCCATTTTGGGAGACAGAACCAAGGTCACTTCCTCTGAAGGCAAACATGACCAAGAGTCCGTGAGACGGCCTGCTCTCCTGGCCAATGCCTTGATTAATGTGCCTGGATGTGGTTTGTTAGTGTCTGCGGTCCCTGAACCCCTGGCCAATGCTCACCCCTCTGCCTTCGTTGCCTTGTAAGGCGATTCTGTGTCACATGCGACTTGAGCACGCAACAGCGTAAATGTTTTTTCTTTCACAAAAATCATAGTGCTTAGAATAGATAGATTGTAGCAGTGCCTAGTCTGGCTATCTGTGCATCAGAGATAATTGCTGCTGCTTGTGGGGTTAGAGACCATCCTGTCTGATATGATTTTCCAGTGACCAGAATAATGGTGCCACAATTGGCTCACGCTTGGCAGGGTGAGTGGTTTTTAGCTGTTTCAACTGGATGGAAAAAGCTATTTCATGACAACGTGACATCATAGTGTCTTGTTGCATGTCACCCCTGACCCCATGTGATCGTATATTGCGTACTGTTTAAGAGGGGAGGAGGTCCCATTGCCTTTAAAAATAATCTCTAAAGAACATTGCACTCTTTTCTGGCTTTGTGGAGTGCATTTGCATTATTATAGTGTCTCAGAAAGTGAACTCCATCCATTAATGAAACATTAAAAAAAATGCCAGTAATGATAGATGGTGGGACCCATTATATGTGTATGGCATGGCTTTGATGGTATATTTAAATTATCAAGCTTGGGTGAAGATAATTTTTGTACACAAGCTGTATTGGATGGTGTATTTCTAACATGTTGTAATTTCCACTGTATAATTTGTAAATACAGTATCATTGGCTTAATCAGAAGTATCAGGCGTGGGTTGTGAAAAAGGTCAAGCCGCTCGTGCTGACCGTGTCCGTCTGCAGTATAGCCGTGTGTCTGCAGTATAGCCGTGTGTCTGCAGTCCGGGCCTGCGTGTTCGGCCAAGCCGCTCGTGCTGACCGTGTCTGTTTCTCTCCTCCTCTTCCCCCAGCCACTGATGACGTGGTGAAGGTGGAGGTCTGGGACGTGGTGGATAAAGGTGAGTAGTGGGTAGGGCTGACCTTCCTAATCTCCTAGTGGGTGTTTGCTGATCTGTGATATCGCCAATGAACCTCTCAAGCTCTGGCACTTCACTGCAATACCCAAGATGCCTCCAAAACGTACCCTGTGATTAAGAACCACAGTGGTGATTCTGTTTAAAACATAAAAATAGCAGTGAGGGTAAAACTTGTTTTTATCTTCTGTCTGTTTTTTTTTTTTCTTATTTCAATTTTGAGTTAATTTGGTTGTTTTTCCCTTTTCCCCCAACCCACCATTGTTAAATAATTTTGTTTTAATAATATCCCCCCTTCCGAATTGCTTCAGGCCAAAAATTCCCTGTACCTGAACTACTGGGTGAGTGTCACTCTGGTGTGTCGACGTTGGACTGTGATTTTTTTGCATTTTCTGGTTCTGCCTGTGCTGCTTTGCCTTCGAATGCCCTCTGCCCCCCCCCACCCTCACCCCCACCAGCCACCCTACTGCCACAGTAAGACTAACAGGCCTGATACAGCCACTTATTTGGCCAGTATGGTTTCTAAGCCGCCGGTTTGTATGGTTTAAGCCGCATAACCATGTGGAAAACCAGGAGAGACCTTAATATCACATGTCAGGGCAGAAGCACAGATACTTGTTTTATATGATGTGGTCTCTCCAAATGAACATGTGATCTACATGGTTCACTTTTACCACTTGAAGAAAAATGCCCCAGGCTGCCCAGATGAATGATATTAAGCTCATGACATCATCCACTTGTCGTATTTGAAGTAGGACTGGCCCTCTGCCTGACGCACAGAGACCGTTCAGGTTGTGCCCTTGTTTTAAGTCTTCTGTGCTCTTTTCTTGATATCAGCATCATATCTTCCTAAGAGAATTAGTCAAATGCTCTACCAATGTATTTTTTCCTCCATGGTGTGCTGGGTCAGAGCAGTCAAACCAGTGAAGAAATTCTGGGAATTTCCCGAACCATCATGAGACAAAAGTGTACAAATTCTTCATTACCTAAATAATGAGCGCATACTTTGATATCTAAGGGATTAAATATGAAACAATAGGATTTGAGCAGACTTCCTCCTTGCTGTTGACCAAACACAGTCTGACAGCAGCAAGTCCTTAACCACTGCGCCCCCTGCTGTATAGTAAAACACTTGACTGTCATTGGACCAAAAGCACATGTTAAGTATATTACAACTTAGGGCTATTATACTTAGCGCGCATTAAAACCTGAAGACCTGCCAAGTGCTTTGTAGATGCCTGTTAAATGCCACTCCCACGTAGCTGAAATGGTTTGTTCTTTCTACATTTGTTAGTGGTTTGGCTTTTCTGGAAGCTCTCAGAACAGACGTCTCAGGCAGCTGACTGTCACTGCAGTCACTAGATTGCATGTGTTCATCTTATTGCTGTTCTTTGCTTTTGTTGGCGCAGGGAAGGGGAAGAAGCGTGGCGAGAGTCTGAAGCTGGAGAATGAGCCGCAGGAGGTAACGGTTGCCCCCCCCCCCCCCCCCCGCATGTGGGTGCTTCCCCAGGTCCGCCTTCTGGCCTGCTCCGTTCCCCTGAGCTCTCAGGATGCCCTAGCTGGTATTGTTGTTGGTGTTGGTCCCCGTGTGCGTGACGTGTGGGACTCGCATGTTTCCCTCATACGTCGCTTTGGACAGAAGTGTCTGCTGAATACAGTGAGTGTAAAATGTTGTCTCTGCTCCATTTTTAGTCGGAAAATGAAATGGCCCTCGATGCGGAGTTCCTTGACGTTTACAAGAACTGCAATGGCATCATCATGATGTTTGACATCACCAAGCAGTGGTAGGCAGACGCCAGTGGCCGTGACCAGTGAGGCAGCGGGTTTGTGTTACCCTGTCTCTGTTGGGCCCTCAGACCCTGTGTTCGCCCATTACAGGACGTACAACTACATCCTACGTGAGCTGCCCAAAGTGCCCAACCACGTGCCCGTGTGTGTCCTGGGCAACCACCGCGACATGGGCGAGCACCGCGTCATCCTTCCCGATGACATCCGCGACTTCATCGCCAGCCTCAGCAGGTGAAGGGGGGGCATTGTAGCGGCAGGCTGGAGAGCCCTCCCACGTGCTCCCCCGTGCTGAGCCCCCCGCCCCCCCTTGTGTACCCTCAGACCCCTCGGCTCCTCCTATATCCACTACGCTGAGTCCTCCATGAAGAACGGCTTCGGCCTCAAGAACCTGCACAGATTCTTCAACATTCCTTTCCTGCAGCTACAGGTGAGTTGGAGGCAGTTTCCGTGGAAACGCTCCACCTGCTCCCGACTGCGATGCTCTTTTATCCCTCTGACGGTTGCATTGACCAGCGTTGACCACTTGGCAGCATGGAGAAAAAACACTCTTCTCATTTATAAATCATTTCTGAGTCACTTTCTTGTGTTCAGCTGCTGAATATTTTAGGGCTTAAGCTTCTATATGGCTGTTTATTTTCCCTTGAACTTCATTCTCCACTGAACGAATCATGTTATTGATAAAAAATCACTTATATATAACTTATCTCTGATTGGCCTGTTTCCCATTTTTTGAATGTAGCTATCTAATATTTTCCAGGGAATCATGACACTGAGTTTGAAGCTACAGTACCTACATACACAGTCAGAAGCTCACTGACCCGCTTGTTATAGAGCGGCTACGTTAGCAGACAGGCCTGCTGGTTATGGCTCTATAGGGCCTATGCGTCTAAAACCCCTACCAGTATATTTCCTGTAATTCGAAGGCCTAAATTATGATAAATCGTCAAATGACTGATAAATGCTAGGCCTGGAATGGAAGCTCAAAGGAGCTCCTTTAGCTATCGATTTATCTCAGTCTTGGCCAGTGTTTCCCAATCCAGTCCTTGGGGACTCTCATATGGTCCATATCCTCCCAGCTCCTGGTAGGGAGCAAAAATGTGGGCCGTCTGCAGGTCCCTGAGGACCGTATTGGGAAACACTGGCCTAGACCAAGAAACAGTGGCTTTGTCGAGGTGCTGCATGTCACATGACCTGCCCTGCCTGCTCCCACCCATCAGAGGGAAACACTGCTGCGACAGCTGGAGACCAACCAGCTGGACATGGACGCCACGCTGGAGGAGCTGATGGTGCAGCAGGAGACCGAGGACCAGAACTATGACATGTATGTCCCCCTGGCAGAGTCCTGCACCGGGTCGGGTACCTGCAGATAGTTGCTGAAACTGGCGGATTTTAATGTTATGGAATTTTACGGGTGGGTATGCGGGCGGGTAATTCATTACACACGGGCGGGTAGCAGGTCAATCAGAACAGTATTGTAGCCTGCAAAAATAACATATAAGCGAAAATATCTATGTATTAGACTATCATGTACAAATAGTCATCATCACAGTGTGTTCAGTATGTCGGGGGTACCTTATGGTGCTTTCGATTATTTCTCTCCAAGTCGGAACTTGGATCAAAACGTCACGAAAAATGTCACTTCCCGTCGGAAACACGCCTCTTTTATGACGTTGATGTCGGACAAGATTTTGTTGTCCGAGTTGCCCCTGTGATGTAATTTCAACATGGCGGCTTACACACTCAACAGTAATTCTATTTTATAAATCTTTAAAAATGTTTATTTTGCTAAATGTATTAATAGTTATAAATGTAACTGCACGTGTTCGATTTAGAGAATACCATATCATGACCGTAAACAGTATCCTATCATGCAATATCAGATTTTTACCAGACTTGTTAGTGTCTTTGGTTTGTTCATAGTTTGTTTGCCAATTTAAAAAGGAATATTGCTATGAATGTGCTAAAATATTTTATAAAGCTTTTAATGTGGTTTGACTAGTTCATGTTTCTTGTTTGTTTGTCTCTCAAAAAATAATCTCACTCCAAATCTGCTAAAATATAAAGCAGCAACAACACAGCGTTGTCATGGAGGCAGCCATGTTTGTTCCGAGATGTGGTAGCTCGAACGGGAGATTGTCGGACATGATGTCACTCAACTCAGAATTTCCGAGTTCCGAGAGAAAAACGAACGCACCATTAGATAACCGCCTCGACAAACATTCACATACACGTCTGAATCCTTGCTGAAGTGTGTTGTCGTGTTCTCTCTTTCACTCTCGTCACAGTATAGATTGCTTAGATCTGTCTGATTTGATTTTGTGTTAAACAGACTTTTTCGTTTCAATTCAAAATTCATGTAGGCCTAGCGCTTGTCACGTTGAGAGGTGCATAGAAAAAATAATTATGTGTAATTTATTACGGGTAACGGGCGGAATTTTAAGGGGCCCGGGCGGGTGTGGATTTAACATTGAAATAATCACGGGTGCACAGGCGGGTGTGGTGCTGTACTATGCGGGTGCGGGCGGGTGCAGGTCTCCAAAAGCGGTCCCGTGCAGGGCTGCAGGTGGCCTCACAGATGCCTGCCCGGAAAATGGCTCTTACCGACAAATGCTAGGAATGGAATTGAAGCCAGAGGGAGCTCATTCAGCCATCGGTTTGTTGTTTATCGGTTTCTTCATTCACTGGGAAGCTTTATTCCAGTTGAATGTGGCCGTTGTGAAGGACCCTCATTTCGTTTTGTGCTTTCAGCTTCCAGGAGATGATGGAGGCTCGCAGTAAGGGCTACAGCTCCCCTGGCCCCCCCAACGGCCAGAGCCCCTCGTCGGGCTCACAGTCCCCCGTGGTTCCCCCCAGTGGGCCCTCCACGGCCAGTTCCAGTCCCGGCACACCCCAGCTGCCCGTGCCCCCCCCGATGCTGCGCTCGCCGTCGCCGCCTCCCTCCCCACCTCCTGCTCCTGTGATGGCTTCACTGGAGCCCATCACTACGGCCCCCCCGCCCCCATCACAGAAGCGCGGTATCATCTCGCGACTCTTCGGAGGTGCCACTCCTGAGCCCCCTGTGGATAAAGCCGGTGAGTGAGAGGCGGCCCCCCCGCGGTGTGTTGCGTCCACCTTCCCCTGAGGCAGGCTGCGGGGCTGTGTGTGTAAGGCATGACCCCGCCATGGTAGTGCGTAGACCCAGGCCTTCACCGATGGACCACTGTGTAGCTCAGTGAATTGGGGATCAGTGTCCGTGTACGGATGGTTGCAGGTTCGAATCCCATATCTGGCAAAGTAATAGTCACTCTGCTAGGCCCCTAAGCTAGGGCCTTAACCCCAACTGCTCCTGGGACGCGGGACCCTGTCCCTGGAATCTGCTCTCACCCGTATATACAACATATGCACAGAAGTATTGGGACACAATTCAGGTGTTTAATTCAGACTCATTGCCACAGGTGCATAAAATCAAGCCCCTAGTCATGCAGTCAGGTTTACATACATTTGTGAAAGAACGGGTCATTCTGAAGAGCTCAGAATTAAAGCATGGTGCTGTCATAGGATGCCACCTTTGCAATAAGTCAGTTCATGATATTTCTTCCCTGCTAGATATTCCATGGTCAACTCTAAGTGGTATTATTGCAAAGTGGAAGCTTTTAGGAAGAACAGACACTCAGCCACATGGCAGAGCAAGTAAGGTAGCAGAGTGGGGTCGTGTGCCGGAAACTTTATGGGATGGGCTTCCGTGGCCAAGCAGCTGCATACAAGTCTCACATCGCCAATCGCAGTGCCGGTTGTTGGTCTAAAGCATGCTGTCGCTGGACTGTGGAGCAGCGGAAACACGTTCTGTGAAGTGACAAATCACGCTTCACTCTGACAGTCTGATGGACGAGTCTGGGTTTGGCGGACGCCAGGAGAACGTTACGTGCCTGATTTGCATTGTGCTAATTGTAATGCTTGGTGGGATAATGGCATTTTTCTATGCTTCCAACTTTGTGGGAACAGTTTGGGGAAGGCCCTTTATGTTCCACCATGATTGTGCCCCAGTGCACAACACAAGGTCCATAAAGACTTGGCTGGGTGACTTTGGTGTGGAAGAACTTGACTGGCCCACACAGAGCCCTGACCTCATTACCACTGAACACCTTTGCAATGAACGGTGTCCCCACACTTTTGTCTATATAGTGTTTATACACCTTTCTCATGAAGGCTGAGTTGGGATATATGAAAAAGGCCTAATTTTCCCAAAGGGGAGAATCTCAGTAATGCGACTGAGGTGCTTGTCATTTAAAAATGCACACACCACCCACCCGAATGCTAAACGCCTCTCCCACACCAGTTTGGATGTACTGGGTCATGTGGTCTGATATATATGCATTTAATTATCTTATGTTGATTGTTCAAGTAGGTTGAATTAGTAAATAACTTTCCATTTGGCGTTTGGGCAGCTTAAAAACGCCTTAAAATAGAAGTTAAAGGAATGCGGTAGGCCCAGCACAGCCGTGACCACTTTTTGATATGTTGGCCCTACCCCCACTAGAGGCTGCCAGTGCAGCAGCGCCCCCTGCAGGGGTGGCCAGCGTGGACGACTTCGTACCCGATGAGCGGTTGGACCGCAGCTTCCTTGAGGACAACCTCCCGACAAAGATCAAGGAGAAGCTGCGCTCAGCAGCGACAGCGGCCGACAGTGACAGGTACCGCAAACCGTCCTGGGGGGGACCTGCGATCAGATTCACCAGTAAGAGTGCTCCCGGGGGTGGGGGACCGGGGGGGGGGGGGGGGCTGTTCAGACGTTAAGCTGTTCTTTTCCCCATGACTGTCACTCACATTTTTGGACAAGAAAAAGAATGTTGTAACCAAAAAAATTGATTTCATATGTTCCAGAAGGTTCGGCCTCAGTTTGAGATCAGATGGTTGGCGGATTCCCTGAGTGATTTGCCCTCGAGAGGCATTTAACCCCCAATAGCTCTAGGGATTGTTTGACCCTGCCTTCTCAAGTGAAAGTCGCTTTAGATCAGGGGTGTCAAACATACGGCCAGCAGACCGGAACCAGCCTGATTCTGATCCGGCCTGCAAGAAATTTTGAATATGGACAAATTGAACTGGAAAATCTCACAAAAAAACTCCTGTAGGGGGTGTCATGTCAAATCTCTTCTGCTATCTGAATTCCTTCCCCCTGTGACGTATCGCTCAGCTGTTAGACTGATGATGCAATCGTGATGATGCAGTTTCAAGGCACTCCGTAAGTTTCATGGTCGCCGTGTCTTTTGCTGAATCACAAAAGGCACCTAATAGGCTTGTGGGGGGAACAGTACCTTCCAATGACCAGAAGGTGGAGCACCGGCTTTCATTTTGCAGAACCATGTAATTACGTTTAACTTGCATTTAAATTTAATAAAAATACAAATAATTCCTGGACTCATGAGTACGTACAACAGTAAAAGTATTACTTTCACTATTTTTATTGCATTTTTTATATTTTTAAGCCAAGCCGATGAAAAATATTAGCGTCGATTCCCTCCAGTTGTAGGTTGTGTTGCCGTTCCACGTTCACCCTGAATAACACTGTACCCAATAATTCAGATCAGACGCACAAAATGAAATTATTTAGTTGACAAATTGCATTTCGTCCACAAAAGAACTTTCTTTCATTCACAAGATGCATTTTATACATAAAATGAATTTATTTGATGACATGCATTTTGTGAATGAAATTACTTTCTTCTGTCCAAGAAATGCAAGATGCTGATATCAGTTCTGTGCACAAAATGAAACGTTCCTTTGGATTTCTGTGCACAAGAGAAAGTGACACCTTTATGCTTTCATGGACAAACTGTATGAAAACTGGAGTTTTTCCTTCTGTGGACAAAATGCAGCAAGACATTATTTGATTTCATCATTAAATAATGCCTGACTTGGAATGTATTTTAAGCACAAAATCGAGTGCTTGGCACTGGACACCCCTTAAATTCTGTTCATTGGAACTATCACAGTTTGTATCTGAGGCCCGGTGGTCACGTTGGCTCTATCTGAGGCTTGTTGGTCACGTTGGCTCTGTATCTGAGGCCCGGTGGTCACGCTGACTCTGTATCTGAGGCCCGGTGGTCACGCTGACTCTGTATCTGAGGCCCGGTGGTCACGCTGACTCTGTATCTGAGGCCCGGTGGTCACGCTGACTCTGTGCTGCTGTGTGCTCTTCCCACAGCGATGGGGAGGCTCGTGGAGGGAACCCCATGGTCTCAGGTTTCCAGGATGATTTGGATCCCGACGATGAGATCCTGACTAATCCCTTGGCCATGGCGGCTGTCCCCAGTAAGGATGCCACCCTGTCCAGTGAGGAGGAGGAGGAGGAGGGGAGCGGCCCGCCCGTCACGCGGGACCTGGACCTGGACAGCGACCCTGACACAGAGGGGTGAGGCACTTCTCTCTTGGCTTGCATTCAGGTGACGGGGGTGACCTTCAGTGGCCGTGTGGTGCTGGGTGCACTCTGTGTGATGCCTTCCCCCCAACAGGGAGCCATGAAGCTGAGAATGTGTGATCTGAACTCCACCTTCAGGGTTTCTATCTTCTACTTCAGTCATATAAAGCACTTTCATATGATGAGATTATTACAAACCTCAATTCCAAAAACTGCACCTGTTTTTAAAGTAGACACTTTTTCCCAATGTTGGGATAGGCCCGGGGGACATAGTGTCTGTTATTTCCTTAACTGGATTATGAGATTAACCTGCCAGACCACAGCCCACGTTACACCTCTGTGTCTGTATGCCTCAGACAAGCTTGTGTCTGTGTAAGCAGTGACCTTTCTGCACTTTGTTGACAAATGTTGGCTTCCGCTTTGCATCGAACAATCTTAGCTGGCATTTGTGGATGCAGTGATGAATATTGACAACGGTTTTGCCAATTCCTGAGCCGATGTGGATACGTGCATCACAGAAGCATGTTGGATTTTGATAAAATGCCGTCTGAGGGATCGTGGATCACAAGCATTCGCTGTTGGTTTAGGACTTTGCAATTCGCACACAGATTTCTTCAGATTCTCTTAATCTTTTAACCATATTATGCACCATGGAAAGTGAAATCCCTGACTTCCCTGCTGTTGAGAAACATTGCTCTTACACTGTTGGATTATTTGATCATGCAGTCTTACACAGAGCAGCGAACTTCATTGATAAATTTACACACAGTAAGACATCATTAACGCTAAATACAGTAATAGAGTGCATCGTACATTACCAGTACTGTACTCAGATGAAAAGCATTCTGATGTTTTAGCCTAATTCTCAAGAAAATAGAGCAGTGCCCTATATCAAGGGGTGACGGTGCAATGAAAATGTAACAATATTAACAGTAAAAACATAATAAATAAAGGTTAAATAAATAAAAATAAAATAAATTTTAATTTTAATAGCACACTGTGATAATGCAGCAATGAATGCGATTGGAGAGCATGCTAGCGGCAGACTGGATGTGAGTTGCACGGGAGAGTATGGGTTTGGGAACAAAGGGAGCTGAGTCATGTACTGGGGGCGACTGGGCTTCCGGATTTCACCAGGTTACAGGGTGGACCAGGACTAACAGGAAATGCTAAAACTGCCCTCTTCCCCCAGCGCAGTGATGCAGCTCCCCGAGCACAGTGGGTCTGCCCCGCCCACAAGGGCGGACCGGACTGAACTGGGAGAGCGCGAAGATACAGATGCCGAGCCGCCGGCGGCTCCACAGGTGCTCTCCTTTGTCGTGGATGACCCCGACTTAGAGAACAAAGAGGCAGAGGAGTTCAAGATGGAGAAGGTCAGGTCATGTGACGTCAGATCAAACGCATCTCAACTCATTATCCTAGGAATGCCTAATTCAAGTGCCTGACAGTTGCTCTCAGGGGATTCATTTTCATGCACTCCCCCCCCCCCCCAGAAATCACTCCCAGTGCTTAAGGACCTGTCAGACCAGTCTGATGATGAACTTGTTCCCGCCCGGGTCCCTGATCCTGGGAAGCCGGCTGTGCTCTCTATCAAAAACAAAAACGATGACCTGTTTGGTCTCGGGTTTGAGGAAAACATCTCTAAGAGCAAAGACAGTAGCGAAGATCAAGAAGGTAAGACCCTGCAGCATCATCACGCCGAGGCCCTTTCCGGCGTCTCCTTCCGGTACTTTGATTATCCCTCCGTCGTGCTGAGGCCCTTTAATAAGTAAAAATTTAGTTACAGATTTATGACGTGTTTAATTTGCTAGTTTTTTTTTGGAAACACAAATTTACAAGGTCCTTTTTTTCCATATAGATAAAGAAAGCAAACACATGACAAAGGATAAGAAGAAAAAGAAGAAGAGGAGTAAAGAGGTATGGCCTTTTTTGAAGGAAGTCATCACCCATATCTTTGGCTGTATAAAGACCCCAAGGAGAATGAAGAAGTGGCTTCAGTTATTTAAGCCCCCGCACCATGATCGTAAACGTGCCTGTACTGCAAATGACATTTTATATAGCGTCCTCCTTAACTGAGGTGCTCAGCACAGACTCACCAGTGCTCCGAGAATGTGAATTAACCGCTCCACCCTTTTTTATTAAACCTCAGGAAGAAGATAAAAGCGGCAAAAAACGGCACAAGAACAAGAAGAAGGAAAAGGAGGAGTCTGGAGCGAGAGACGAGAAAGAGAGGAAGAAGAAGACGAGGTCCAGGAAGGGTGGTGACTTGGATGACTTGGAGGCCTTCCTGGCGGGGGAGGCGATGCCGGACAAGCGAGAGGGAGGCGACTATGAGGAGCTTTAGGCCCTGGGGCCATTAGCTGCCACTGTCTCCTGTGAAAGGGGGTGGTCCCTGGGAAGCACTCGCACACAGACAATCGCTGACGGGCGACAGGCCGCCCAGCCTTTGGCTCTTCCCCGCCTGCCGAGACCCAGAGGTTCCTGGATACTCCCCAAGCACAGAGCGGGCTGCCAGGGAGGCATATAAGGATCGCTAGCGATCCCGTGACCGCGCCACACTGATGTCCGAATCGTCACCGATCTGTTTTTACATTTTCTTTTTTAGCATTTCTCCTTCCCACTGAACTCCTTTTTTGTTTTTGGCAAAAGAATTTGACAGAATATGAGGAGTGTCTTTAACTCTCTGTCACTGTGTCTCAGCCTGGGTCTGCTCCTTGAGGACCAGTAAAAATGATGAGGCAACATCTTCAAGAAATGGCTTCAGTTTTTGAACGGTTCTGTTTCTTGCTGCTGTCTTGGTTTTGCCGGTTGAGCAGATGATGAGATGAAGTTCACAACACTTTAGGAACGACAGACCCCCGTTGCTGCCGCACACGAAGGGCCGAGCTCTGCGGAGGTGCAGCGTCACCCTTCTCAGCTGCTTTCATGGAGGCTCATTTGCAGAAACTACCTTTAAAAGACTTTTTACACCCATGGAGCCACAAAAAGATACAAGGGGTGCCTAGTATGAAAACCCCACCCCAAGTGTTACTATGTGTCTGTAACATTTTCCAGGTTTGCTAAGAAGCGCCAATAGCTTGATCAGTTGACGTCCTACAGAAGACTGATGAATTTGGTAAACAACAACTGGTTGACTTACACTAACCATAAAATCATTCTACAATTCCATTAACAATGAACACTTGCTTGTATGTTCAAGCATCCTTCCACTTTCTGTTCAGTTTCCAGGTTTTTGATACAATTCCATTCCGCCGGCAGGCTTACTGCTGGCCCCAAGTGCTAAATCATTCTCTGACTGTTTGCATCTTCTTCACTGATGGAAACGACCTACTGCTCCAGTCTTTTCTGCTGCTTTATTAATCAGGCCCCAGTGGTGTTACCCACAATGCACCTGGTATATGAACAGGTCATCCTAATGAAAACCCTAAATCAGAAAAGCCTGCTTGTTCCTTAGTGGTTTATAATTAGCTGGAGAGAAAGCATCGGAGATGATTACAGTATCGTGAGGTTACATTTAAAACCTGAGGATGCCCCACCCAACTATTTTTAAGAATCTCATTTTTAAACCATCAGGCATTACTTTGTCAGTCACCCCCGTCAGCTCGCGGACTGGTCCAATGTCTTTTTTTTTTTTTTTTTTCCTGTCCGGCAGCTTTAGCAAGCAGAATCATGGTCTGAATGCACTGCTGTGCCAAACATGTTTGCTTTACCATGAGGGGCTCTATAAACTCTGTATTGGCCCCTCATGTTGGTCGATTTCTTTTTATTTTCTTTATTTCGTTTTTAGCACATGTAAAATATTGCAGTGGCTGAGCTGGCCGAAGAGGAGGGACAGATTAGGAGGGGGAAAAAAGAAAAGAAGTGAGGGAGATAAGTCAAAGCCAATAGGAGTAAAGTACGAAGCACATAATCTCCAAATTGCTGCATCTGTAAAGGAGAGGGAAGAAAAATAAATAAATTTCCAGGGTGAGTCCAAATCTGAATTGGCAGAATGCAAAAAAAAAAACTAAATGAAAAACCTTTTGGTACTTAAATGAATATCATGTTAGCTGTGGGGTGGGAACTATCAGGAACCTGGAGCACAGATCGTTACAGAGATATTACAGAGCCGAGTAGCGGTCGCTGGTCGGAGCGGCAGCTCCGCAGGGCTCAGTGGCGCCCCCTAATGACATTGCGCTACGTGGTTTTCCGTGCGCCCTAGGACTCGGGCAACCTTGATCGGATTGTGCGAATTTTTCATAGCCTGGCAAACCCAGTCAGATCTGCAACCTAGATCGGGCACCCCCGCTTTTAGAGTATTGGCTTGATGTTGCTCATCTTAATACGAGCTTGGAGGTGTAACTCATCACGGTGGCAAGTTTTAATGGGAAAAAAATCTGTTTTATATCCTTCCCTCATTTGTTACCAGTCTGTTATTACATAGAACGAATATTATGACCTACACATACAGAGTATATACCTATTAAAACGATATATAACAGTCAGTAATAGCCGGTTTTGTGTGTGACTTTCCATTCTGTGGGGGACGGTTTCTCCGTTTCAGTCATGGGTCTCACGTTAACCCCCCTGCAGTGGAGGTCTGATATCTGCCAGATCAGTCTCTAAACCGCTCGCTTGTACGTGCTGTTACATAGGAATGCATGCGGTCTTTGTCGTTACTGTACTGTTTCCTACATGCCCTACAAACTGATAAAATGTACGCAGAGACGCGTTAAGTTTCCATGAAAACTCTATTTCCACAGTGTGCACAATTTATGCAGTTTGTCCAATAAAAATTAGGCTCACTGCTCCTAAGTACCTGTTTTGCTGTCGTTTTTATCGGCTCATGCAAAGACGCCACTTCAACGCCCTAAGGAATGTTAATTCCGTCATACATTTTCATTATAATTTTTTAATCACGTTGATTTAAGCAAAATTATCCTCTAATTACCGAGATCATTTGAGCAAAATTCTGTCAGTAACATTCTATGACAAAGTGTGATGTTTAGGACAAACAGCGGAAGTCAAACCACATTCACACGCACATTTCCACTGTGGTGACCTCACGCGTAGTTTCATTTTGTAACCACAAGGGGGCAAATGAATCCTACTGGTGAGGAATCACATCCGACGTAATTCAACCTGAACATTTGCTTAGAGATGGACAGAAGCTAGAAATGTGTCCGTTTGCATTTTTCTCAAAAGCTTCTTGAAGGTCATTGCAAATAATACATACATTAAACAATAGCATGAACACAAAATGTAAAATAAATATAGCCCATTATGCAACATAGTACAGTCACACGGACATTTAAAGGATAATTTAATAAGAAACCTGAGTTCCACCCCTAAAACTACAAACATTTGCTTACAATATATCTAAACATCAAGTCCATCTGTACTTGTGGGCTTAACAAACAATTTGACTAATGAATATAAAATATAAAGTGACACTTGAAATGTAAAAGGACACCAAAGTTATGTAAATAATGTTAAAGCTGCAGTATATCATTTAAATCATGATTATGAAAAGATGATGATGAAATAAAATCACTGTCTGAAAATATGCAGATGAAGTCTTCGTAATTAGTGTAAACATTTTAATGAATTTTCTTTTCCTCACAAAACACTGGGGTGCCAAACGTGATGCTTGGTCTTTATTTAATTGTCCAATGTTTTAATCCATAAACCATCAATAACTACACTGGTACAGAATTTATACCAAGCCTGTATGAAGAAAACATGGTAAAGTTTGTTAAAGTACCAATTCAAAGTGTCTAAAGCCGATCCTCCGATTAAAATGGTACAGACACTTCTACTGAAGGGCAATATCAGGCATAAATCAGCTGGTAAAAACCTTACTAATACAGAACTGTCTGGGAGCACTCTGTTCATCTTTAATGTGTCATCTGAACTTTGATTGGACAGGTTTAGTTCCTAATGCTTGTCTGGGTGCTGTGTGGCACAGTGAAATAATGTATTTGGCAAAGGCAATTTTACACCCGTGTGTGGGTCCATTAGTCTTATGACACTCAGGTGTGACCAATTAAATAGCACTTCAACATAAGCATCTGAAGGGATATAGGCGGTAGACTAGAGGAATATTTTATTGCTTCCCAGAAGGACTGTACTGTTTCACTGAAAGAGGCGTGTACTTTAAGAAAAAAAAAACCTTATTAGCCGTGATTTTATTACGATGTCAAATTCAGTATATTGAGTGACCTGCAAAGCGGTGTAGCAGCATGATGCATTGTGTGAATTAAACTAGGAAACTGCTCCGGTACAGTTTCTAAGCAACTGGCTCATCGAAATCTCATAAAATGTTGCAATGCCTCACCACAAGGGGGAGGCTCTCACGACTTTTCTACTGCTGTTTTGAGGAGATGCTTTTCATTTCAGTGACTTTATGTAACAGTCCCAAAAGCAAAAAACGAGAGGAGAGGAGACAACTTCAGTCTCTGTCATGTCATTTAAGATGTGTTTATATTTTCATTGTTTTTTTTTTTTCAGAGAGTGCCTTTGAGTCTTCCAGTACTTGGGGTGAAAAGTTGTTCTGGACACCACAAATTTAACTTAGTTTTTAATTTCTAAAACTTGACTGAACATTACCATACCTAATTACCACTATCTGCAAAATAAACACAGGCAGTCTCTTTCTGTGTGTTGAAATCAGATTTCGTCCTGTGGTCATCCTCTGCCGAGATTCAACCGGGGGGATTTATGGAGGTGGTGTTGGTAGACAGATATAGACTTCCATCCCAAATGATGGAGGTGCTGCCCTTTCAGATGTGATTTTATTGCTTCAGTCTACCAGACAGCCTATACTCTAAAAAACACAAATGCTATGTTGCTGGATCAGTTAACATGCCATAAAACACACAGAAACCTACTGTCCTAAGCGAGGCAGATGCAAAGACCTGTCACTTCGTAAAGAGTGAGGCTGTGTGTGTGTTCACAATCGCAACTTGTTTCTCTCATACTGGTGCTCAATAGTCCCGAAGAAGCACGAACAGAGTGAGAGGTACTCTGCTGCAATGCAGTCAGCTCTGACAGGGAGGGGGCGGTGTGGACTTCAGTCATGTAGTGGTTCAAGTGCCCTAACACCCATGAATGTGTGTATAAATCCTTCACTTCCCACTATAGTGTGACTTCATAATCATACTAGTTTGGTCACGACTAATTATACTCATTACGATCATTCAAATGTCACCCTCAGCCGCAAAATCTACTGGATATGCTACACCCCACCTGCAGCGCTGTACTGTCTAATTGTTTAAAACCACAGCATCCACTTGCTGGCTGCTCTTAGAAGCTCAGCCGCTGCAGTGTGCCATCTGCCGGGACGCCTTCCATTACATCAGATGCGGAAGCATTTCCTGCTTTTCAGATGTCATTTTAAGCCTGAGTGCAACAATGTCTAGTGCCGTGGTAATGGTCTTCCCAAGAAATAGATGGGTCCTCATTCACAGGAGCCATCTGAGAAATCCAGATTGTGGTTCAGTGATTCCAGTGTTTCATCAATTTTTCATTAAGTGCACAATACAGGCCACTATTGAGTTTGAAAACAAGCCAAATATATATATACTTACATACGTAAAAGAAAGTCAACCTTCGCGGGTTTCTCAAAGCAGCATAATATCTCCGTTTAGTAGTTGATATCAGAGCAAATCAATGATTTAAAACATTCAGCTAATAAATAAATGATGACGCAGTGTCCCCTCTGTAAAAAAAAAAAAAAAAAAAAAAAAGATATTTATCGCGCTGCTACGGCTGGTTATTGTTCACCGAACCTCCGAGTGAAGTCATTGGCTGCCCTGGGAGGTTGCCTGGGAAACGGGAGGGCGCGTGAGGTGCTGCAGCGTGCCGGTGTTATGCCGAAAAAGGCATCCCTGCCGTAGAATGCATGCCTGTCTCTAAATGACCGATTGGTCGCTGATCTGAAACGAGTTGAGCTACTTTGTCGAGTAAGGCTAGCGTAGTGCTAATCAATAGTCCCAAAAATCTCGTAAAAATGTAACCCTAACCCCCAAAAAACCTCTAAAACCCTAACCCCCAAAACCCCCCTAAAACCCTAACCCTAACCCCCAAAAACCCCCTAAAACCCCAACCCCTAAAAAACCCCTGACCCCCAAAAAACCCTTAAAAGCTCAACTCGTCGGAACACCAGCATGCATTCTAAGGCAGGGATGCCTTTTTCGGCAGGGATGCGTTTTGCGCTATAGACGCGTGTTTCTGGTGGTGAGCGATTTTTAAAAAGGTTAGGGTTCGACACCCAGTGTTTCGTTAAAAGTCGGTACGCTTTAGGCGGTGATTGCGCTCTATCGTTTACTCCATGTCGTATCTTCAGCCATCCTGGAGTGTGATTCTGTCGTAGGTTTTATTTACTTCGAATAAATCGGATACAACAGTCCCCAATAAACTTGCCTATGAGCTCATTAGCAGTGCACTTTTCATTTAAACATTGTATACGTAGGGAGAAAAATATATATATTCCAGACTTAGATTATGTCTTTGGTCACAGTGATAAGTTTAAATCATATAGCCTATAAAAAAAATTAGGTGGTGTTCGTCTAGAACATACTCTACAGTCACAGTTTATAAGCTATCTGTTTTAATCTTTCGACCAAAGACTAGCATGAGAATAATAATAACAATCGTTTAATTCTGGAATTTGAGTCCATGCTACAGTTAAATCCTCT